CATTTGTGTGTTCAGTCTCTAGGCCCCTGTTAATTCCCACTTGTGTGAGGAAATTAAGATATGGCCAATCTATGTTTGTAAATTCTCCGGCCATAGTAAATTAATACATATACGAGGAGACAAGCTGAGTCAAAAATTTCTAAGGATATGGGTAATCTTGGGTGAATTTGATCAAACATAATAACTACAGTTTCCTTGGCTCTTTTCTACTTTTCTTCTATTGTACCTCCGTCTCAATGTTAAACAAATAGCTCCCCACAAGGAATGTGATTATGTACTGAAAACATGTACTGGTAAAAAATAAAAATTGAATAAAAAGGAAAGCAAAAGTAAAACAAAAGTAAAAATTCATTAAGTTGAAATTGCATTTGGAGATAATAGTGTATATTTATTATGTACTTAAGCATGTATTTTGTGTACTTAAGATACAATATATATTCCCTAGCTGTACCCAAAGAAGATACATAAAGTAAAAACACTTAAGGGAGAAAAAAAAGGAATAAATAACTCTAATTCCCATATCGGTTTATTAAAGTGCCATTTTGTACTAAAAATAGTCACCAAAGAAATACAGTAGTTTGCTCCAGGTCTTAACATGAGGCATTCCCAGATCTCGCCAGAATTTGGAAGCGTGGAAGCAGTCAAAAAGTATTATGAAGTTGTCAAAAGGACACAGTAACTAAAATGAAATGCTCCCACTTGACCAGTAATGGTGATACTCTTGAGTCATAAAAGCAGTCATAATTCCTAGTCATTGAAATACTCAAATACATTAAAAGCAATTTACTGTAGTATTCCTGAACTCCCTCAAGAAAATCAGGAGGTAGGGGGAAAATGAAGGATAGAGCTCTTCATTAGTTGATGTATAGAGGTTGCTTAAGATTTCAAAGCATTATTCTGACAATGGGTAAATAATGGGGGAAATTGTGAATATTTTTCTGTATCTCAGAATATGCTGAGTTCTATTTTACTTTGATTAAATGTAAAACCCTCAGATCATCCCACTGCATTAACTTTTCTTTCAGTAAAGAATTAACTGTATGACTGCTGTTCAACCAAAATACTTTATTATGATGAAGCCAGGCCTAGTGGTGTACACTGGGAGGCTAAGGCAGAGGGATTGAATCTTTGAATCCTACTGGACAATTTAGTGAGACTATGTCTCAAAATTTTTTAAAATGAATAAGCAAATAGGACTGGGGACGCAGCTGTGAGTGGTAGAGTGCTCCTCTGTTTGAACCCCAGTACTGCAAAACATTGGATGGATGGATCTCCATGGTAGAGCATCCCTGGATTTGATCCCCAGTACTGCTGAGAACGAAAGTTATTTTGATAGTGCTTGCTAAGTAGCTTATAATGATGCATTCTAGTGGTATACCTATATAACAATAACGGTTGGTATCATTTGAATCTTTCCTAAGGGTTAGGTGGTTGTAATACATGAAAAGAACTTCCACTTTTTAGACAGTTACTAAATATTATTATTGAGCCAAATTTAAGATTCTGGGAGATGACCAGAATGAGAGGGATTAGAAATTGGCAAATGTGGTTGCTAAGTACAGGGAGAAAAAATTAACTACTGTAGCTTCAACCACATAGGTTAAAAAATTAACTTATGTCCTCAACCATGTAAGTTGATAATATGGGATAATATCAGCCATGTTTTAAAGCCAGAAAACATAAATTTGCTCTACTCTCCTGCTGAACAAATGAAACCAGGCATAGTGGCACATCCCTGTAATCCTAGCACTCTGGGAAACTGAGGCAGGATGCCCTCTAGGTTTAGCCTAGACTGGGTAGCTTAGTAATTTAGTGAGACTCTGTCTTAAAGTAAAATATTTAAAAAGATAACAGGGTACAGCTCATTGCAAGGCCCATGGATTCAATAGCCATCATAACCCCCCCCAAAAAAAAAGAGGAAAAAAAGGTATTTTCCATTAAACTATAGGGAAAAATATGATTCATTTAAAAATTCCATAGTAGTTGTAAAAAATGTCATTTATTACACATTCATGTGCTCTGTTTTGAGATAAAGATTTATTGTATACTCCAGTTTTAATTTTCACAGCTGTATAAAGTAGGTATGTTCATTTTAAAATGAGGCTTAAAGGCTGGATGTTTAGCTCAGCAGCATAAGTGCCAGCCTTGCAAGCACGAGGTCACAAGTTCGATCTCTGATACCAAATAAAATAAAATAAGGCCTAAGGACATTAAAGTAATTCTACAATGTTACATACATATAGACTTTGATTTTTAAAAAGACAATTTTCAGCTTCAAGAGTCTGTTTTCTTCATATGTTTAACTATTTTTAAACTTGCACTTATTTTTTTAGTTTTTAAACAGGATCTCACTTAAGTTGCCTTGGTAGAACTGTTACTCATTATCCTCTTCCCTCAACTCCCTGTGGGTTGGGGTTACAGGTGTATGCTGCTGCGTGTGTCTAGAACAGGCATCTGTGATGAAATAATGTTGAAGCAGAGCCCAAAATGAAGGAAGCAGGAAAAAATGCTGACCATTTAAAATATAAGCATACAGAACTGTGTATTAGTCTGCATGAGAAGTTATACAAAAAATATTGATCAGGTGACTTAAAAAAAATTTGTTTTCTATGTGGTATAGAAAGCCCTTCTGGACTTTGTCAGGGTCCCGAAGAATCCACATTTGTAATTCCATGGAATAGTTACTGGAATTCTAGTAAATTGATTCCAGTCTAGCACTTTCAGTGTGGTGCATGGCAAGAATAAAGACACTAAAGCATATTTGTAGTTGTGAAGAGCTTGACTCAGGGCCAAACCCTCTTTTTATGACATAATCTGCATGTCACAAATTGGCAGTGCCTAGAGTTTTGGAGTCCCTGCTTCAGTTTTGATGTGTAATCCATGCCCTGAGAAGTCATAGCCTCTTTTTTTTTTTTTTTTTTTTTTTGAGGCTCATTCTCAACCGACAGCATGGCCCTAGCTCACACATATTTTGGAGCTACAAGCTGACCTGTCCATTGCTTCAAAGAATATACATCAACATCATGGCTAGATCCATTTAGCTTGTTTAAAGCCAGTGGAGGGGATAAGAAAATGTTCTAACTAGTTCTGTACATATCACCACATGGAGGTAGGGCCAAACACTCTTCTTTTTTTAAAATTTTTTTTACAGAGAAGAAAAACGAAGCAATGATAACACAATTTCAAAATCAGATAATAGGAAACTTAACAATGGTTAATATATTATGTATTGTCATCTTCAAAGCATTTGCTCGGTTTATAAGATTTATACATGAAAAATGGATCAAACAATGTAAGCATAAACCATTCTTTTCAGTGAACTAATAGAAATTAGTATAATTATCTTAGCTATTTTGTGTGTATATATTTTATTCTTTTCCCTTTCTTGTTTTCCCATCCCAGTTCTTTCCTTTTTACAATATCTGTTATACCTTTTAAATCTTACTTTTTCAGTTTCTTACACTACGGAGACAACATGAAGTTTACACATGCATGTCTGATTTATTTCACTGGAGTATGGTCTGAAATTTCATCCATTTACCTATAAAAGCCTTAAGTTTATCTTGCTTTATAGCTGAGTAGTACTCCATTGTATAAAATACCACATCTTTTTAATCAATAGATAAAGAATTGATGAGCTTTTGCATTATTTCCCAGATTTAGCTATTACAGATTTGCTGCTTATAAACATGGTGCACATATATCACTATGGTATGGTGTTTTCAGTTCTTCTGGGAAAATACCCAGAAGGGAATAATTGAATTGAATGGGACCTCTAATCCTAATATTTTTGAGGAATCTCCAAACTGATTTCCACAGTGATTGCACCAGTCTACGTTCCCAATAACAGCAGCCTTTTTCCCCACAGCCCTGGTAGTATTCATTATTGGATAATTTCTTGAAGATAGTCATTCCTTCTGGAGTCAGATAGAATCTTAGTGTTGTTTTAATTTGCATTTCTCAACAAAACTCAAATTGCACAGGAAGTACTTCAAAGAATCAATAACTGGGATCTCATCTTATTAAAAAGTTTTACACATCAAAAGAAATCACCAATAGAGTAAAAAAGAAAATTCACAGAGTGGGAAAAACTTTTAGCCAACGTTCCTTCAAACAGAGGACCTTCTATCTAGAACATGTAAAGAACTGGAAAAAATCAGGCCCCCAGATTCAAAGAACCAATCCAAAAATGGGCATGAGATGACTGTGCACTTGTCAAATGAAGAGATACAAATGCCAAAGTGATATTTAAGCTAGTATTTGTTGATAAATGTACAGAAAGTTGGGGAGAAAAGAAACAAGTTCATGGTGTTTCAGGAACAGAAATATAAATTGACTAGTAGATTAAGAAAAATATACAAACGAACCAGAATATAAACCGTAGTGAAAAATTAGGATTTTATTCACATACAGTATGGGTGGTTCCAAGGAATTATATAAAGATTTGCTAACTTTCAGTAATGACTATTAAGATACAAAAGCGGGTTACCTTCATAATGTTTTCCTTTGTTTCTCATGTTCTACTCAACAAGATTTCTTGAGCACAGTCACTGATTGAATTATAATTTTCGCAATTTCTTTTGTGTTGTAAATTTATTTGATCACATAAAGTTTCACAGATTTTAAGAGACATGATTTGGAGAACAATTTTTGTATGTAAATTACCGTTACACCTTCAACTTACTGGAACTCTGAAATAGACTTACTGATAAACATTTAATTGTTACAACTTGCTGGTTGGTGTTGTCTGTCTGGATTTGTGGTAATGGGCTAAAGAATGAATTTGATATCTGTATGTTTTTTAAAAGATCCCAAGTTGTAGGCTTTCTTGTAATTTAACTTTCAGATAAAGGGTTTTATTTTTGTTTTTTTTTTCAATTTTATTTGGAGGAGATTCAAATCTGAGATATAGTTTATTTACATTTTAACTGATAGAAATCATAAAATTATATTGCAGATAAAATTTCAATATAAATTTTGGATTTTCTTTATAATTTTAGTCATTTTGTCCAGTGATGATGATGATGACAATGACGAGAGTAATAGAAGAGACAGCCTATCTCCTCAGCCTGCTGACTCAGCATGTTCTTCTCCAGCACCATCCACTGGAAAAGTAGAAGCAGCACTGAATGAAAATCACTGCAGAACTGAGCGTGAGCCAAAAAGCATTCCACCAGAGTCAGAGCTAAACGCTGTCGTGTTGCCAAGGAAAGCAAGAATGAAAGACCAGGTACTCCTCACATTGATTCAAATGAAAGTCTCCCTTTGTGTATATATCTTTTTTGTTTTTGGCAACAGTTTGAGATTATTTATTAATTGGGGATTAGATACCACTTAGAAGATTCTGAATCTGATTAAAAATGCCAATTAAACTAAAGGATTGAATGAAAATTAAGAAAAAAACTGTCTACTATAGAGCAAAGTGCCAGTGCATGTTGAATGTTCCTTATCCAAAATATTTGGACAACAGAGCTTCAGTGACACAATCAGTTAGCATGCACTACTGAAACAAAATATTTGGACCAGAGTGTGTTTGATTTCTTTTCTTTCTATTTTTCGCCTTTGGGTTGTAGAATATTTACATATGAGATATCTAGAGAATGGGACTCATCTAAAGAGGAAATTCATACATGTTTCATGTGAAAACTATATACATGTGCTCAAGTAATATTTTCATTGTCCCTATATTGGAATTTACAAAGAATATTTTCATTGCCCCTGTATTTCATTGCAAGTCATCATTTGAGACCACATGTGAAATCTCTTACTTGTGACATACTGCTGATGCTCAAAAAATTCACATTTTTAAAGCATTTTTAGATTTCTGTTAGGGATGTTCATCTTGCATGTGTAAAAGATTCCTTTTAATCATTTTAACTTGTTTGTAGTTTATATAGTATAGTTTTAAACAAATTTTGTATTTTATATAAAAATTTCAAAATGTTCACAGTACAAAAAATGGTGAATGATGTAAATTTATGAGTAACGGATCTATAGGGATGTTTGTAATATATATGACATACAAATACTTTAATATCTATAGACTAATTACTTTATTTATTTATTTAAAATTAGAGAAAGAAAACTACAAAAAGTAGGAATAGACAATGAAGGACATTCAGATAGGAAACAACCACATTAAAAGTATAAATTATACTCTAGAAGTCTTGGTAGATAGTTTGAAACCAGCCTGGGGAGCCTGGCAGCTTACTGAAATCCTGTCTCAAAAGAGGAGGATACGTGATCCTAAGGTCCTGAATTACTCTTTTTTTTTCTTTTCATTTCTGTTCTTTCCTTTTTTTTTGGTAGGAAAGTATAATTTAAAGAAAAAGAAATATAGCTGTGTAATAAATAGACTTGCATAATTATTCTAAAATAGTAAATACTACTGGCAACAATTCAAGGGAAAAGGAAGGATGTTTTCCTAACTTGCTGATGGAAAAAAGTTACACTCTTTGGAGAAAAGCAATATAGAAACATTTTTAAAATTTTTTAAAAAGTGTCTTGCCTTCAATCAGATTTTATTAATATATTTTAGATATACATATTGATCATATTCATCATAGAAAATTTGTACCTGTATATGATATAACTTGATTCTTTTTTTTTTTTTCCTCATTTTCCTACTCTCCCTTTAGTGGCTTCTCCCTCCCAATTTATAAAAACTTTGTTTACATCTTTTCCTTTACTCACTTTTTTATTAAGCTTTTTTCCCTTCGTTTCTTTTCCCCTTCTCTTCCCTTGTTCCTCTCTGCATTTGAACATTTTCTTCCTGTTTCACAGTACCTATTATAAATAATGGTCCTTATTTATACTTTCATTTTTTTAACAAGTACACTTATTAGAAAAGAAGAAAGTTATGAAATATCTTTATATCTTTCCTTAAATTAAAAATAAGTCAGAATAAAACCAAAAACAAGCAGAAAAAAAAAGATCAGAAAACAATCCCTTATCAAAATGCCATCATTTTTCATAAAGATTAACATTTTGATTCTTACATTTCTGTAAAAATACAGAAGTCTCAAAACAGTCTAAACAACATTGATAAAGGAACAAAATTAGAGCTCCAACCCTCTCTAATCCCACAATTTATTACAAAGTTACACCAGTCATGACAAAACGACATTGATACCAAGATAGACAAAGCACCAGAGTACCAATATAAAGTCTCAAAATAGATACACACTTAACAGACATTTGATTTCTGACAAAGATGCAGATGCAATTAAGTGGAGAAAGGATTGTACCCTCAATAAATACACTGGAACAACTGGATATCCATATACAAAAATCCCGAACCTTATAGCACATCAAAAATTTCTTAAGACATCCAAAAGTCAGCTGAAAATGGCTCACAGTGGATTGGTTAAAGCAAAGGCATTTGTGGCCTGAGTCATTGCTTTGGCTGAAGTCATTTTCTCTGGGACAGAATACATGTTTTTGCTTTCAACTTGTCACACTAACGAAACAATAGGTTTTTACATGTGTGACATTTATTTCACTAATAAGTATGTTCTCAAGGTGCCTCTATTTACCTATAAAATGTCCAGTTGATCTTTCTATATGGCTGAGTAGTATTCCATTATAGAGAAATACCACTTCCTTTTTATCCATTCCTCAGTCGATGGGTGTTTAGGTTGTTCTCAGGTTCTGGCTATTATAAACTGTGCTACTATAAACATGGGTGCACATATGTCACTGTGGTGTGATGTTTTTAATTCTTTTGGGAAGATACACAGAAGGGGAGTCACTGGGTCAAATGGGACCACTAATCCTAGATTTTTGAGGAATCTCCATACTGATTTCCACAGTGGTTGCACCAGTCTCCATTCCAACCAACAATGGAGAAGGGTTCCTTTTTCTCCACAGCCCCTCCAGCAGTGTTATTAGTTGAGTTCTTAATACTAGCCATTGTTTCTGGGGTGAGGTGAAATTTTAGTGTTTTAATTTGTATCTCTCAAATGACCAGTGCTGTTGAACATTTTTTTCACATATTTCTTTGCTGTTTGTACTTTATCTGAGAAGTATGTGTTTTACCTCAGATGGCTATTTTTGGATTGGGTCTTTAAATCTGGGAGGACTGATTCTTTGGAGTTCTTCATATGCTCTTGATAGTAATCCTTTATCTGAGGAACAACGGGCAAACATTTTCTCCCACATAGTGGGTTGTCTCCTTACTGTGGTTTCTCTTGCTGTGCAAAAGCTTTTCAGTAGGATAAGAACCCATATGTTGATTCTTTGCGATAAGCCCTGTGTAGTGTGGGTTTTTATTCATAAAGTCTTTGCCTACACCAATGTCTTCAAGAGTTTCACATGTTCTGTATCCCAGCAGATTCATTGTTTCTGTTTTCATATTAAGATTATGAGTCCATTTTGATTTTAGCTTAATACATGGTGAAAGATATGGGTCCAGTTTTAATCTTTGGCATGAGGAAAGCCTGTTTCTGCAGCAGCATTTATTAAAGAGTATCTTTCTTCCAGTGAATTGTGTTTCGCACCTTTGTCAAAGATAAGGTGGCTGAGTGTGACTGCAGTTATTTCTGCATCTTCTAATCTATTCCATTGATCTTTAGGTCTTTTTTTTTTTTTTTCTTTTCCCAATACTACACTGTGTTTTATCACAGTAGCTTTATAGTATAATTTCAAGTGATGCCCCCTGCTATTCTAGGTCTCTTCTGATTCCAGATGAATTTTAGGATTGTTTTCTCTAATTCTATTATTTTTTGAGGAATTTCCACACTGATTTCCACAGTGGTCGCACCAGTCTACACTCCTACCAACAGTAAAGAAGAGTTCCTTTATCCTCACAACTCTGCTAGCATTTATTATTGGCTGGTTTCTTGGTGATAGCCAATCTTTTTGGTTGAGGTGAAATTTCTCTGTTGTTTTAATTTGCATCTCTCAAATGACCAGTGACATTGAACATTTTTTAATATCTTTATTTGTTGTGTGTGCGTCTTCATCTGAGAAGCATGTATTCATCTCAGATGCCCATTTTGAATTGGTGCTTGTGACACTGAGCTAAACCCCCAGTCTCTCTGCTTTTAATGTTCGGCATGTGCAAAGCCAGTTCTCCCAACCCCATTTATTCAAGAGGTGACTTATTTGGCATTTTTATATGTTCTCAATAATAATCCTTTGTCTGAGGAATAGCTGGCAGACATTTTTTCCAAAACTGTGGGTTGTCTCTTTACTCTGTTCGTGGTTTCTCTTGCTGTGAAAAAGTTTTTTAATATGAAATTCCAGTTGCTGATTCTTTTTGATAGTTTCTGTACAGTCAGTATTTTATTCATAAAATTGTTGCCTGTACCAGTGTCTTCAAGAGTTCTACCTATTCAGTCTTCCAGGAGAGTTAATGTTTCTTTTCTTTTTTTGGTGCTGGGGATTGAACCAACAGCCTCACACTTGATAGGAAGGCACCTGTGTCACTGAGCTGTATCCCCAGCCACTAATTTTTTAAAAAAATATTTAGACCTTTGATCCACTTTGACTTTAATGCATAGTGAAAGGTACTGGTCTAGTTTTGTTTTGTTTTTTACCAGGGATCTAACTCATAAGCTCGTGCTTGCCAGGCAGGCAGGTGCTTGTGACACCCCCAGGCCCCTCTTGTCTTTGGCATGTGCAAAGCCAGTTCTCCCAGCACCATTTGATAAAGAGGCCGACTTTCTTCTAGTCAATGTGTTTGACACCTTTTTCAGAGATAAGAGGGGCTGAGTATATCTAGAGTTGTTTCTGCTGCTTCTTATCTGTTCTGTTGATCCTCAGGTGCAGTTTGTTGGGGTTTTTTTTTTTTTTATTGTTTTTTGGGTGTTTGTTTATTTATTTTCCAGTACCATGCTGTTTCTATCACAGTAGCTTTTTAGGTTGGAGATATTGATGTCCCCTGCCTTTGTTGCCCAGAATTGCCTTTGCTGTTCCAGGTCTCTTCTAGATGCAAATGAATTTTAGGGATATTTTCTCTAATTCTGTGAGATACGCTGTTGGAATTTTCAGAAATTCATTAAATCTGTGTAACAGTTGTGGAAGTATTTATTATATTGGTTTTTTCTACTCAAGAGTAAGGGTTATCTTTGCATTTTCTGATACCCTCTTCAATCTCCTTTTTCCAAGTACTGTGGTTTAATGTAGAGGTCTTTTACTTCCTTCATTAGATTGACTCCTAGGTATTTCATCTTTCTGGATGCTATTGTGAAAGGTATTGTTTTCCTAATTTCTCTCTCACTGAGTTTG